ATAAAAAATATATCTACATATATTTAATTTTAATATTATGAAACTTTTTTTAGTAATTTTTCTAGAGTTTTAATTGCATAATTAATTTAATCAGTTAAATTATTCTTCTGCAATACTATAAAAATATCTAAAGAAATAAATTTTTAATACTGATAAATTCACAATACATCTATTATTTTTATCACAATAAGCATAAGGTAAAATTATTTTAGTTATATATGTATATATTTAGTTATTTATATTAATATATTAAAACTTTTATTTAAAAATAAATTATTTACTTTTTTCTTATAAATTTAAATAATTGCTTATCCTAAATACTAAAAAGTTTTTTTCTTAATTATTATATTTTTCTCTTTTAAAATATTAAAAATATAAAAAAAAAGAACTAAAGGTATTTACAGATATATCTGTTATTAACTTAAAAAGTATCATGAATATTAGAAGGTTAAGAAACACTTCTCTTATAAGATTTGTGATAAACTAATTAGCTTTATATTTGGTTTTGTAGAAAATATATTAGTAAATATTATATTATTAAGTATATTAATAGATCATAAGATAAAGCTTTAAATACTTACCTAAAAATTTAATAAGATAACCTTCTTTGAAAAATTTATACCTATCCTTAAAAATATATATTTAGTTTAAAATTTTTACTTATAATTTAAATAAATAAAATGGTTTTAAGATTGTTTTTATATATCAAAAAAATATTATTATGCTAAAATATATACTATAACTTTTAACTTTCTTGATCACATGTAAAAAATCTACATTTAAGACAAGCTTAAGTATAAATTTTTTGATATTTCTAGTATTTATAAATTACTTTTAAAATTAATTTTAAAATATTACAAAATAATTATATGTATTTTAAGCTTGAATGGATCATATCATAGAATGTAGTTTCACTTCATTCAATTACTAATGATATTTCTAGTGATAAGCAATATAACATAAAATTTTTTATATATTAGATAGGATTAAAATCAGATTAAAAATACTATATTTTAAACCGTTTATTTTAGCAAACAAATTTATATGTTAAAATAATTAAAAGTAAATTAGGTTTAGAGTAGAATTTTTATAGTAAAAACTTTATTTTAATTGATTAAAATTATAGTCACATGACATAATTTTTTGTCTGTAGTATCTAATATATCACATGACTTTTAAAGTTTATGGTTTAATAAATCACTATCACAAAAATATTTTATTTATTAGTATGAAATTCTAAAAAGTAATTTCTAGTATTATTACAACACAAAGACATATTATATGCTACATACCATAATTGGCTTTTGTTTAGTATTTTACAATCTATATCTATTTCTTTTTTATTTGCTAACTATATACATCATCTATACGCTTCACATTTTTTCTCTATTCTACAAAATGATTTCCAAGAACTAATTGTTAGTCTAAAAGCTCAAAATATTTTGTTATTTTCTGACATTTTGCATCCTTCTCTAAACTACTTCTTAGTTGAATTTTATCAGTATCATTTGCAAAATTAATTAAATTTCAAACAAGCTTATTGCAGAACTCTTTTTATTCTTGCATTAATCCTATAGTCTGAATAATCTGATATGCATTAATAATTGCAGTATTAAGTAGCCAAAAAAATAGGCATCCAATTTCATTATGTTATTTTTTGCATATTGTAATATGAACGTAATTGATCTGCAATATCTATACCATTCATATTATAGTTGTAATCATCAACTATTTTTGGAATTTTTAATTTTTTTTTAGATTCAGAATTAAATACTATGTGTATTTTTGTTGCATTTGTATTAGTTTTTCTTGGTCACTGCCTATCCCATTTTACTTCTCACTCCTTACTAACAATTCTATAAATTGTTGATAACATTGTGACTGATCCATTATCCTGCCAAAAAACAGCTAATACACTATCTACTACAATTTTAGAATGAATATCCTAATTAAGTTTAATGCTTTTATCTAATTTTAATTCTTTAAAAAACTCTGATGCAGTCTTTCGTATAGTTCTGTAAGCACCAATTCTATTTTATCAAAGATGTTGAAAAGGAGAAATATTGAAGAAATAGTTATCTATATATATATATTGTATAAATGTTGATAGTATGAAAGTTATTCAATAAGATGATAAATCTGATATCGATTTGATTAGTCTACCTATTTTTGTTACATCACTTAGAATAATATATGATATTGATAAAAAAAAAGTATATTCAGAATCACAAAGAGACAAAATTTTAAAGCCTTTAGATATAGATTTATTTTTGATTCGAACAATATGAACACTTCTTCCAGAAAAATAAATTACCATTTCATCTACAGAAATATTTGTATTTAGTATGTAAAGTTACTTTAAAACATTTCAGATATGCAAAAGTAGTAATTCTAATTTATCAAAGTAATTTTTAATTAATGTAATGGAAGAGAAAATATGTAGATATCTCTTAATCTATTTAAAACATTTCAATAATATTTGTTTTGAGATAGGGTGAATAGGAAGCTTTTCATTTTCATTTCAATACTGGTCAAGAAAAGGTAATTTAAAAAGTTTTTGATAAATAACCAAGGCAATCTAAATAAGAAGTTCTTTACAAGTTAAGTCTAGCTAACTCCTACTAGTAGCATCAGCACCTTTCAATAATGCATAAAGATTTATATTTTTGATAATAGTATCTAATATGTTTGTTGTAAAAAAAAAAAAAAAAAGTTAATTAGCTTAGAGATACTAAAATTAAGATATATTGATAGCTGAACAGATGCTTAATAAGATTGTTTTGGGTGAATAAATAGATTAAAATCAGAAGGTGGTTGTGATAATTTTTGTATGATTCTTGTTGATTTACATTTTCTTTCATAGATATTTCATATGATTATTTCATGTTTATTCTCATTCTCATTCTCATTTTCATTTTCTGAATCTGGATTGTTTAAGTATTGACGAGGTGTCAAGAATAGTATATATTCTCCCTTATCAAATTCTGTTTCTGGATTTTTTGAACTCGAAGTCATGTAAAGGATGTTCAGTTATTAATTTTTTTTTTAAATTTTTCTTTTTTTTATGATTATCAGATTACACAATTTACTATTAATGATCTACATAATTATTATTATCATTAATTTAAAAATTCGAATGCATATAATATAGAACTAATGGATTCGTTTTGGCTTAACAATAGGGGTGGTAGCTTAAGACAATCAAAAGCAATTAAACAAAAATAGTAAAAAAAAATTTAGCATTCAAATTTGAACGCTGGACGGTTTAAGGGATAAGAGATAGTATTATTCTTGCTTCTAAGATTTAATTTTAAGTCAAATTTAATACCAAAAGTTTTGAATAACAGAAAATAAGTCTAAAATGGGTTGATTAATTTAATGCAAGATTTTTCTTAATATGATAGACATTACATGAAATTAAATCTAATAACTTTTATAAATTCAATTTTTTAAAGCTAATTTTTAATATCAAATGATTATATTTGTAATCATATTCATATTTTATAAAACTCATATGAAAAGTTTACTAGAAAAATCAATTTTTTGATTAAAAATAAGACTTTATTACATTTAATCTAATAACATTAAAAACTAAATGCAATATAAATCAAAATTTTGTTAAAATTCCCAGAATCTGATTTTTCTAGCAATTTTTTCATATAATGTAAATAATGAAATTGAAAATACAAATCAAATTGAGTATCTTTCTTCAGTAGATACTAGAAGTTTACTTAAAAAAGTTCATGCAGCTATTTTTTTTTTTTGATGATTTATGGAATGTACCAAATGAATTATTCTTAATTGCAATAATTTTAGATACCGAAATAAAAACTTTTCCCATTTTCAAATGATTCTAATCGTGAATAATAAAAATGTTAGCTGAAGACAAAAGATTTTATAATCAACTTAAACAAGATTTAGCATCTCCCGAAAAGATTCAAGAAAAAATATCACCTGTTTAATTGAAGATGATAATGATATATTTGCAAAGATGTGGAGTAAGTAATTAACGATCAACACCAAAGAAAGATAATGAGGTTTTGCGTTACTTAAAATGAACAAAAAAACTACGGATCCTTTAGTATGGTGCCGGGATCATATAACAAGTTACCCTATTTTATCCAAATTGGCTTGCAAGTATCTGATGCAGGAAATCATATTTTTACAAAAAGAACACGATTGTCTCCAGATTTAGTAATCGTATATTGTTTTTAAAATGTAATGGTGCTTATTTTAATATATTTCCTCCGTTAGAAACTAATTAGTTTAATTTAATAATGGAATTTCTTAGCATTTATGTATATGAACAATTTATATCGTTTAATAAAATGAAAAGTGTTATATAGGAAGTAAACTAAAAAATTTTAAATAATTAATCAGATCTGTTTCAATAAACGCGCCTTAATGACGCAGTATTTTCCAAAAAAATTGAATTTCTTGCTTGAATTCCTATAATTAGGAACTTTATTTTTCGGTAAATGAATTGCAGTATGTCAAAAAAAAAAAATTTCAAAAATTTCAAAAATATAATCACTTAACAATAGTAAAAATTAAATAAATTTATTACTTTTGGATGATTAAATTTATTATATCCGGATGAAATGAAGGAACCGATAAAGTGTAAATTCGAATCGGAAGAAACCGGATTTACTGTAGATTCGAATGCCAAATAACGGTTCTAAACTCTACGCGGGTAAGTTAATTTGCATTTAAATTCGATATTTGTTTTAAGAAACGTTTTAACTAACGAATTCTTTTTTTTTTTCTGTAGGTTTCAGCACGACAGCATCATGGAATGTTAAATTATTTTTAATAATAATTTTTGAATATACAGAGTAAAGTAATGATATCAAGCTATTTTATAAATAATTTGTAATAAAAAAAAAATGATTAAATTAAAAGTTTGGGTATAGTTAATATTAAGCGTAATTAAGCCGTACATATCGAACATTATGCGCGTATAGCGCTAATTAGACAAAATTATGCGCGTAAGATGGTAATTAGGCTGCATATATCGCAAATGATGACTGAATTCGAAATATTATTGCTTGCATCTGTATCGTAACTGATCTTCCGTTATCAGAGTGCTGTTCTGCCAACTCGGCTTTCCTGAAAAACTGTATTTGATTTATTAGAAATTTTGGTGGTTGAAAATTGTTCCCTTGAATAACCGTAGTTGATGATAAATCAACTTGATTAATCGAATATTAGATGGCAAATTTACAGGACAACCATTTCTGCCATCTATCCTGATAGTGGAGGTAGTACGTCCTGGAACGTTAGTATTAACTGTAGGCTTGCATGCTAGTACTAAGTCGTCGTCATTGGTAATCTCTATATTTTTGATATTAACATGAGATAAAGCAGGTTTACATACTTTTGCTAGCGTGATTAACTAATCAAGATTATATAATTATAAATTAATATTTATATATACGTACAGTACAATGAATAGATTTGTTCATGTTGCGCCTCGCAAGCCTGCACAAAAGGCCTTGAACTTTCATAGGCAATAATGTCATTGCCACCGGTTTGTTTCTGTTCACAAGTTACACACAAAGGCATTCTTTTCCAAGTAATTGAATCTCGAAGTACTGCGCATTGATGAAGAAAAATTATGTAGCACAAAATGTATAACCACAAAGTAAAATTTCAGCGAAGTCATTTATAAAAATTCTTAGCGAAACAACAAGAATTATATAACATTTTTCATATCTTAAGTGCTAGATTACGAGGAATGGTAACGGTCGTTAATAATAATAAATTGAGTCTGGCTTATTAGAAAGTTTTTTAGCCAAATATTATAATTTTGATTCATGGCACTTTAAATATTCATTTTATAAATGGCGCAGCATATCGCGAACTTTATTTTTTTCAAAATTTCAAAATTTTTAATTTATTGATAATTAAAATAAAATGTTAATTTGTTAATTTAATCCAAAGTGTTTTTTTTACTATATAAAACTTGCTTGTTCACAATTATCTAGAATAATTATAGAAGAGGAGAAAGCGGATTCTAATAACACCTGATTATAGATTATGAATAATCATTTCATTACGTTACACCCGGAAGCAAGAATCAAGAATATATCAACGCGATAGTTGTTCAGCCAGTCAAAGTTTCAAGTTAACCGGTCGGTCAGAAGCCTTTGACCGACCGATATCGGTCACGGTCATAACCGGTCATGACCGTGACCATTAGCTCCAGGATCGGTTTTGTTGATACAAATACA